ATATAATATATTTTAATATTATATATTATATTTTTCTTTTTTTTCCTTCGGTGTATGTACACAGGCACCGCAGCTGCAGCTGTATTATATATACAGCTGCTGAGCCTCTATAATAAAAAAAATAAAACCCAAGTTCCTTCTATCATTGCATGCAACATATATGCATGCACCCGAGACCAGCTGAGCTGCTAAGAGGTGCGCTGCGGAGCTGTGGGGCCTTGGAGCAGCAGCAGCAGCAGCAGTAACTGCTGCTGCTGCAGCAGAGTTCTAGCTAAATCTGCTACAGCTCGACATGGTTTCCCTTTAGGTTTAGGGTTTAGGGTTTAGGGTTTAGGATCTAGGGTTTAGGGTTTAGGGTTTAGGGTTTAGGGTTTAGGGTTGATAGGACTATGCTATGAGGAACTCTCATAGAGAGTGTCACTGCTATATACATTCACACATTCTTCTTCACAATATACATATATATATATATATATATATATATATATATATAAAGAGGTTTACTGCGCGGCTAGATGCTGCGGTTTAGTGTAATTCTATGCGGCTGGAGGCCCCGGGGGCCCCTGGGGCCCCCAGGCTTCTACGGGTTGTGCTGCGATAAAAAAAAAAATAAATAAAAAAGTATTGAGGGAATGAAGAGAAAGGTGACTGCAGAGGCAGCTGCTGCAGTTGCTAGCAGCAGCAGCTGCTGCTGCTGCTGTTGTTGCGGTAGTTCCTTACAATAGCAGCAGCAGCTGATGGTGTTGCAGCTGTGAATCCATGGAGAAATTTCTTTTTTATTTTTCTTTTCTTTTATTTTAAAAATAAAACAAAAGAAACTCAATTAATTTATTTTTTATCGAAAAGAAAAGCAAAGAGATATTCCCTCTTCAGTACGCCGCAGGACCTCTTGGCTTCAACCCCTCCGGAGCTTGCAGCGGGGCTTAGGGTTTAGGGTTTAGGGTTTAGGGTTTAGGGTTTAGGGAGCTAGCTATCAACAGAGTGCTGCGCAGGGGGGGGCGCCAGCACCCCCTCCCCCTTGTGAGGCTCAACCCCACAGGTTGTTGGCTTGGAGGCGTCTCCGTGTGTGGGATCGATTGCCGATCGATCCCCGCTGCATAGAAGCAGTTTATAACAACGGGATGCGGGAGAGAAGAGGAAGAAAATACAGTTTAGTTTATGAGGGGTATAGAAACTATAAAAGTATTCAGAAACTATAAAAGTATTAGCGTCAACAACAACAAGAAAAATACATATCTCCTTTATAGGAAAAAACCGTGTATGTTGGGGTAGTACTATGAACACCAGCCGCACCCAGCGACAGAGTGTATCTATCTTTCTCTATTTGTACTTGTATTATATAACATGTAAAATAAAAACTAAATAAAACAAATTACCGAGTGAGGATGGATCAGCATCTAACTCACACAGTTCAGGGCAGAGTCCCCTACACCTCTGGTGAGCCGGGCAACCGCAGTTGTCCCTTCTCAGGTATATACGCAGCTCTCTTTTGTTTGTTTTTGTCTCCTTCTTACTCCCATGGATGCAGCAAAGCCTCAGCTGCCGCGCCAAAGAGAAGACGGGTAGGTTGCACCTCCGTGCTGCGGCTCTCGATACCAGCTCCCCTTCCCCCCCACCGGGCAGGGGTGTTGTCTCCTCCTCTTTGCTGCATACTTACAAAAAAAA